CAGGAATGCTTGCAAAATTCCCGAAGCATGACTTTGAAATCCCTTGCCAGCGATGATAAATACTGACCTGGTGACAAGCTGTAAATCTCGAACCTTTATTTTGTCTGAAGAGTTATTAATTGTCTGTGATATTTAAAAAAGAATCAGTTAGCAAAACTGCTCCGTTAGAGAAGAAACACATGCTTTATGAGTTCCACGAGGTGCAAATGATTTACCTGCTGAAGTCCTTTCATTTCCTCAGCAGTAAAATGTATTCTACGAGGATTCACAAGCTCAATTGCAAAGGGCCTTCCTGGCAACATGCACAGTCATAAAACATAAAAACATGTTGTTCTAAATTAACGTTTGAATTTATGCAGTAGGATTGGAAGGTGTGAAGATGATTGTCTGCTGTTATGCAAACAGGGATAGGACTTGCGGGTTTAGGGATGTAGCATCAGATGGAAGGAAAGAAACAAGGGACTTTTTTTGGCTACTAAACCCCAGTATCAGCAATAAGTGCAAATTACGACTTCCCTGAAGACATCTTGTACAAGTCTGTGCTAATTAAAAAATAAAATAAGAAAAAAGTTAATTAGCTTATTTTCTGTCACCTACAGCAATGCCCAGGTGCAAGATGATGTTAAATCCCGCTCCCTCAGCTAAACATCTGTTGCAATAGCTGCACTTTCCGTGCTCAGGGCCAGGGATGATCCCCAGTACAAGCAATGCCAAGAACTACGCTACAAATCAGACAGCAACTGGAACACATCATTGTTAATTTTTACTTTTTCCTTCCGCTCCTCCTTTGGCTATAGTTGCTTCAGCATACTGGAAAGCAACTGACCTTTATAAAGGACCCAAGTTCAAAAAGAAAATAAGGCTTCCCTACTCCCCAGTGACAGTGAGGCAAAGTAGAAGGACCCAACAGAAAACAAGGTAGGAATCGGTCTGACATAAATGGCTTAAAAATAGGAAGTAGGTAAAATAAAATACTCCTGACAAGCTATGCAGTTCCATGCATCTCTGCAGTCAAGGACACTGAAAAAGGGCTCCTCTTTCAGCTGGTTTTATGAATCTCTTCCATCTTTGGGAATAAATACATAAATATCACTAAAATATTTCCAAGATAAAATTTCAGAGCACGTCTAGTCACACACTTCTGCACTTAGCATTCAGCAAGATCTATTAGGGTAGCTGCGGTTAACGGTTTTGTTTGGGTTTGTGTTTCACAAGGGATGTTCCAAGCCTCACCATTGCCTAGTGTTCTTACATCCACATCTTCTCTTCCAGAAGAAGAAAAATTAAAGCCTAGAACAGATATGAACAAGAGAGGTGAGATTTTATTTTACATTTTTAATTCTCTCTACAGCTTTTAAAAGGTGAAATGTTTTATTTTGGAAATTGTTTGCAAATATACTTCCAAGAGCTATCTTTATAAAATGAAGCCTGTGCTGTATTCAAACAAATCTGGGATAGTTATTGTTTATTACATCAGGTTCACAAGTTTCTTGAAGAACACTCCTAGTTCCTTGGCCTGAATGAGATCACTATAACCCTGAAAATGTCCAAAAAGAAGCAGTACCATCCTAAAGGAATTCTACTTACTAATTAATTTTCTTCATTTCTTACCCAGCTAATTCAAGTCTATGAATAAAATCAAGCTGAGCCATCTTCCTCCAAAACACAACATTTTATCCTAAATACACCCAATGTTTTCCAAACATTTCAGAGAAATTTCTGCTAGTCACACACACCTGGACAAAAGAGGAAGAACATTCAAGTCCAAACTAAAAAGTCACCTCTGTGTATTTGTTTTTTTCATCTTTCAAGCTATAGAAATGTACTGTTAGGTATTTAGTTTCCTTCATGTTACCCCTTCCACCTTTAAGCTTTGCCTGAAGGAGAAACAGGGGACCAAACCCTGCTCTAGAGGTGCAGCTCTGTTCCAAAGGGTCTCTGAAAACCCGACAGTTTCAGAATTTTTTCCTCCGTAGAGAACATACAGATTTCCTGGGGTTTTATTATCTCTCGTTTCTCTGATGATATTATGGCAACTAGAGAACCATCTTCCATGGTCATGGAGGTGTATTGTGGTCATACTATCAAAATTTTCTCAGTTGGGAATGCTCCAGACCCTTAATCATCTTCTCAGCCCTTTGCTGGACTCATTCTGGTATGCCGACGTCTGTCTTGTACCGGGGAGCCCAGAACTGGACCTAGTACTCCAGATGTGCCTTCCCAGTGCTGAGAAAAGGGGAAGGATCACCTCCCTTGACCTACCAGCAGCGGTCTACTTGTCGAATACCTCTTCTCAACATCACTGCATATGCACTTGGTAATTCTGCAAGCTAAAATCAGATGTTACGTAGTACCTGGCCTAAAGACATGGTTTGAGGATTTTCCTAGTGTTCAGACATATCCACTGGCAGGAGAGAGGAGGGGAAAATAGCTGTTTTTTCCAAACTAATATTTTATGCGATTTTTCCTTGGGCCTTCTATGTCTCTAATTCCACGTCTAGTAAATGACAAATGATGGGTGGTGATTATTTCATCTGTGTAATGATAACCCCTGGAAAAGCATTTAGCTTGTGGAACTCTATGCACTTAAGAAAATAAATTAATCAAGGTAAGAAACGTGAAGGGGTCGAAGGCTGGGCAGATATTATGGAACACTGATGGCAAAACCCTTCGTGTTACAAGTCATTCTGTGAATTGCCAACTGTTAAGAAGTATAACTAGGCAAAAATACTACCACATAAAACCATAATATTTGCATAATCAGATCAACTGAGGAGGTATTTTAGAAGGATAAAAGACACTGCATAAAACAAAGCAGTCATCCAATTACTCACAGATCATAACTAAAAAAAGTTTACAAGCTTTGACTTGGAAGGATGAGAGACGGATACAGAAACACAGGTTTTTCCATTACACGCTTGTATTATGTTAGTAGCTACTAAGAAAAAAATACTCTAGTAATGATGAAAAATAAATATGGTAAAAGATCTCCTAGATACTTACTATCTGCTTTGAATGCTGCCATTAGATGCTCTGAAATCAGTTCTTCCACTGAAGATTCCAGCTTCCGCTCCCCATCAATAATCCAGGGAGTCTGAGGTAAATTCCTTGAATATTTGTTGTATCTTCCTGTAAAAAACAACTACGTTACCTGTAATCATTCTAAAGCAATGCACAAAAGCTCCCCCATTGCACAGCACAACACATTTAACTTTCATTGGAGCCTTGTGAAAATAGATTTACAGGCTTAAACTTGTTTTATGGCAAGCGCATCACAGCAACAGTACGAAACGCATGCTACTGCACCTACCAGAGTTTCAGTATCCAAGATGGCCAGCTTAAAGGTAGACTCGGGAGAGCCTGCTGCTGCAGTCATACCTTCAGGTATAACCATAGAAACAAAACTGTGTATCACCTGACACAATTAGGAATAAAACCCAAAGGTTCAAGTGCCTAGTCTGAGTCAACTTTATTCTGAATGGAAAAAGGGTTTTTTTGTAATCAGAGCACGGTCTTGAACCAGCCTCCCGTGCACCAAACTAGCGCCATACATATTCACGCCTGTCCACCAATGCGTATGTGTCCTAAGTCCAGAAGTTCCCACACCCTCCTGTACCAAGTAGTTCAGGTTTCAATCCAAGTTCTGCTACCGTCTGAACATTTAACCAAAGAAACCCAAACTAGACCGCTTTGGCTCGTTACAAGGAAAACCATGTGAGCAAAGTGTCTCAATAATAAATTAGTACAAATATCAAGAACCTTGAAAAGGTGCCATGTAAAGAGCTTGCCATCCTGATTCCAGTCATAGTCTCGTGTTATGTCACACTAGCACGCTGTCCCCTGTGACACAAGGACTGCCACAATCAAAGACCCAATCTGACACGGATGACCAAGATGACCTTTCTTATTGACAGGTTTTATAAGAAGTTAAAATATGCACACAACATGGAAGTCATTCATAAAGAACAATGAGTAACCCCCTGCACAAACAAGTTTCAATCTGAAACCTTGCATATAGAAAATAAAAAAGTTCAAAGTAGCTATGCCTATTGTACTGTCAACTCAATTTTTTTGGTTTTCAGTATCACATTTTCCTATTTCTAACAATGTTTCCTTCTTGCATTTTGATCTGCAGAAAACCCACACAAACAAATGGGGAAACTGACTAATAAGTGTTTCACTGGGACAAATAATGAAAGTACTATGACTAATCAGGCAGAAGTCAGCTTCACACTGCTAAATTCTCTTTCCATAAAATGGAAAAAGGAAAATATTTTTCTTTTCTTCTCTCAACTCCCCATTCTAATAATTTTAGCTTCTGATCTGAACAAGAATGGGTTAAAAAAACCAGAAGGTGTTTCTCGGTTTGACAGCTTCTCCCTGAACCTTTTAAAAAAAAAAAAAAAAAAAGCTGGGGGGGGGACCGTTCAGTGAACACCAAAGATAAGGTCTAGAGAGCAATACCAACTCTGAAACTGCGCTTACAAATTAAGATCCTGTCTCATTTAAACTGCTGTAATAACAAAATAACTGCATTGTATTCAATAAATTCTTCTATTTTTTATTTCATTATTCAAAAATTAAAGACAACATCCTGCCTGTGGTTTTTTTTTGTTTTGTTTGGAACAAGCTATAAACTATAACATTGCAAAACCAGTATTAAATCACACGCAGAAAGCTAATCCTCCGTCTCTTTCTCCGTACAGACGAATTCTGATAAAACTATCCAACAAAGCAAACTAAACCAGTGTGTTTGGAAAAGGCTAAAAGACATTGGATCTCTTGGATTCATGGAAATGTACATCTAACTGTCTAACCAGTAATTCAAAATAAGAAACAGGTATGTATAGAACACCAACTAGCCTGCATAAGAACATTCACTTTTGTTTTCATTTCACCTTTTCCTTTAGGCAGGATTTGTACCATCCTTTTAAACACAGTACGTTGGAATAAAATTGTACGGTTTTTAAAAATAATCTGTCTGCATATGTTTAAATAAGTGGTTGTTTATACACAGGACTGGGGGAAAGGTAGATACTCTTGCAGGCAAGTGATAGCAAAGCTGAATCATCTCAACTCAGGGACACCGAGTGTTGTTGAATTACCTCTTGCATCCAGTTATTTCAGATGATATCTTGGTTTGGAGGGGGGGAACTGGAAAGAGCTAAGCTTTCTAAAATTTAACCTTTATTAATCCCATTAAGATTGGCAGTTTTGGATGGAATAATATGCAGATAAATCTCGACGGTGAAAACTTCTGAGTCCAAATCAAAATCCAAGCAAGTGAACAGCACTGCTGGGAGCTTGTTTAGTGCGGAAGTGTCTTTCCCAAACCATGTGCTTATTATGAGGGGACATATAACAACTGCAGGATTTGCAGAGATAAAGGTTTTCCAAAGGAGAGAGCAAGCTTTGACAACAGGGCAAAACTCTTCATTTCATAAACTGCTTTTGGATAAGCCCCCCTAAGGAGCAGGGGCACAAAGCAAGCTGTTTTAAATCTACACATCACCCTGTGCTGTCTCTAGAAGAGAAAACTCTTCCATCTCTCAAAACAAAAGAAAAACAATGGCAAGGAAAAGCAGGATCTTCCTAAATATCCAGAAGGGAGGTGTATGCACGCTGGGAGCAGCCGAAGTGACGTGCTCCCCTTCTGCAGCTCCTAACATGGGAGCCCTGACCTTGGCCCTGATACAGCTGTCTGCAGCTCCCACTCCTCTTCAACCGTATTCCACCACACACTGTTTCCAAATTTAAATTCACAAGGTAAGAGTAGGCAAATAGGTCTGACTTTAGCATCTTGATCTGTAATTTCTAACTTCTGCAAAATCATGTCTTCGGCAAAGGCCGAATTTCTTCCCCTTTCAAAGTCCACTCTTAGATAGAGGTAGATATGTTTCTTTGCTCCTTGTACTTAATTACAGAAACCAACAAATAGCAAGAATCTTCTGGGTCTCACGCAGTATTACAAAGTTATGTTTAACACAACACAGCAGCAAATAAATGGATCACTTTACCAGCCACAAAAACTGCACCATTATTGCACTGAATTTCCAGAGCAACACAGAGGTTCTTTGGTGAACATGGGGGACATGGAAAATGCCTGTATAAAAAAAAGAGATTAAAAATAGTAGTAATACCAGAACATGATGGAGCATCATCATAGCAATAATGGCATGAAATATTTTGACTTCAGTTACAAAAAACACAGCTAAACTCAGTATTCACATCAAAAGCTGGAACACCAAAAAATGGATAGTCATAGAATGGTTTGGATTGGAAGGGACCTCAAAGATCATCTAGTCCCAACCCCCCTGCTGCGGGCAGGGACACCCTCCACTAGACCACTTTGCCCAAAGCCTCATCCAACCTGGTCTTAAACGCTTCCAGGGATGGGGCATCCACAACCTCTTTGGGCAACCTGTGCCAGTACCTCACCACTCTAACAGTAAAGAATTTCTTTCTAACATCTAATCCAAATCGACCCTCCTTCAGCTTAAACCCATTCCCCCTTGTCCTGTCTCACACTCCCTGATAAACAGCCCCTCACCATCTTTTCTGTAGGCCCCTTCAGGTACTGGTAAGCCGCAATAAACATTAAACAAATCAACAACACTGCATCGGAAATACTTTTGTCAATCTGTCATCGAACATGATCGAAGTATAACACCCCAAAGTGTGCTAATAAGATGCACCATACTATAGCTATAGCAACAACAAAACTAAATACTGTAGGGAAGCTATCTTTGGGATCTATTACTAAATCTTTGCCGGGAATAAAAGAAAAGGGCTGCAAAGACTTAGTGCAATTAAGCACAGTGAACTACAGGGAAAGTGACAGTTGATGCCTTCCCACTGCTTACAATTTTTATCATATTACAGCACTTGGTGTTTTCTTAAAACTCAACTCGTAACATTTTGGAAATACGGGAAAAAGTCCTTCTTGTAAAGAGAAGCTTGCCTTACAAACTCTAGGTTCAAAATACAGAAGGAAGCTCCATGATTTCTAAATCTCTTCCGTGGTTTTGGGGATGTACATAAAGATTTTTGAATGTAAATGATTTGTGATACTACAACAAACTGTTTTCACTTCTAACCATTCTAAATCCCACGCCAGCCCAGAGATCTGCAGTGACGTACTGCCGAAAGCACAGAGCAGAACTGCAGTGCTCTGACCCACAATTTCACCTCTGCGCTGCTCCTGAGATAATCGGCCAATGAAGCATTTTTACTAATGGTAAAAGGACCACCATTTGTCTCATGTCCAGTTTTCCATCCTCTGTGGCTTAACTCAAGCATTTTAAGATTACTCCTTAATTAAAAGATCTGGAATGACATTTTATTACCAGAAGAATAGAAAACACAACACTTTTTAACCAGTAAACTAGCAGAATTGAAACAATTTGAAGTTCCTTTATAGATATCTTACCACTACTTACCTACCTAATATTTTCCTGCCCATCCTAATTCTATACAAAAGTATAATACTAAGAACTAGTTTCAGTATATACTTACTTGAGAAAATCCTCTTCTTTTATCTTCTCTAGGGCTTTTATAACTGCCATTCTAGTGAAAACAGACTGCACAGTGAAATAAAAAAATGAGTCAAGAACTAAGAGTAGCTAAGGAAGGATATGCCTAAGGAAGAAAAAAACATACCCTAAAACATACACACCACATGCTTCTCAAACTACAGTTTTTTCATTTGTGTTTTTTGTTTTCTTATACCTAAAAGCAGCTTTATATCAGCAAGAATTCACTGTAATCTTAACCCTAACTTTAATAGGGTAATATGGCAACAAAGAGCAACAGGTAATTGTGCCAAAATCTGTTCAAGTAACTTCACTCACAACATGAAAGCAATATAACTAATACAGCTGACAGATTGGAACATAACAACTATTTAGTTGTAGAACTAAGATTTGCCCCTTTGTTTCTAAAAGACACGTACAAACAGTAGTATATGTTTCCTCACTCTGTTTTTACACAGGAGAAAAAAAAAAAAAAAAAGAAGTGCCACTGACTTTCAGCAGGTTTAAAGTTACTGCCACGCTTCCAAATAAACCTACTCCAACTCCTTAAAATATTCAATTGCTAAGCCTGCCCTTTGGTTAGCTGAAAGAAATGCCGCGCGTATCTCTGGAAACTATCTTATTTCAGATGATATACAAAAGTGTGCAAAAGCAAGAACAAAAAACGTAGTGCTTGGGAGCTCAGGTCCAAATTTGCAAAATAGATTAAAAACAGAATTGTAAATCCATGAACACAAACCTAAACCAGCTTCCTCATTTTCAAGAGCTAAGTATACCTAAGCCCCAGCTTTTATCTCGGTGACCGTAGGCAGCCAGTTCTTCTGAAAATAAGACTGCTGAGTAGGTATCTGATTATAAAGTTCAAAAGTTCATTCATACTCAAAGTAAGGGCTCGGAATGGTAGGGACTGGCAGTTCCCAAACTGTGGAAGGCAAGCAACTTCAGACTCCCAAGCCACATCAATTCACAAAGATGAACTGATAGTAAAAGTAGTAATAATAGTACAATAGTGGCAGGGGCCACGACTACCACTATCGTAAAAATAGTACAATAGTGGCAGGAGCCACGACTACCATTCTCTATGCGTAGCCAGGTGCTGCTGTTGATAACTCAAGTGAGGCTACGGCAGAAAACACTGAATTTAGGTTCCCAAAACAGGAGAAACAAGTGTTGTAACAGGTGAGGTGGAATCCAACTTTAGGTCTCTAAATGAACCTCCTAGTCAAAGCAGGGTCAGCTATGAGATCAAACCATACCACCCAGGGTTTCATCCAGTCAGGTCTTGAAATCCTCCAAGGATGGAGCCTGCACATCCTCTCTGCATAAGCCTGCTCCACTGTCCAACTGTCCTCATGGCAAAAGGTTTCTTCTTAGATCTACTCCAAACCTCTCATTTCAACTTATTTCCACTGCCTCTCATCCTTCCACCAGGCACTGTGATGAACAGCCTGGCTCCCTGCTGGTACCAGGGGGAGATTCAGTTGGGTCCTCCCAAAAGCCTTCTCTTCTCCAAGCTGAAGAAGTCCAGGTTCCTCAGCCTCTCCTCCTAGGGCATGTGCTCCAGACCCCTGACAGTCTTGATGGCCATCTGCTGAATCTCCAATCTAATGATGTCTTTTTTGCAAACTGGATTGGGGATTTGGGAAAAAAAAAACAAACCTGAAAAATACTGGGTCGCTGCTTGGGAGGATTCAAGTCTTTGCTCTAACACAGAGTTCCTGGATGCCTTCAGGAAAGCTGCTCTTTCTCCTTCTAAGCATAAATTAGAGATAATAGCACTTCCCTTTCTCATAGAACAGATGAGCTAGAAAACCCTTAAACTAGCAGCAGGTTTAAATAACTATCTACAGCAGATGACACAGAAATTTTCACTCAGAACCCAGTTTTTATACTACTTCTCTGATTAACACAGCCCTTGAAGCTAGCTTCAAGCACAGCTTCTTTGTAAGGATGAACCTCTGACAGCTCTTCAGAGTCAGTATTTTTTCCTTTAGATTCCCCTACATCTTGTTGTCTGTGTGGTTTTACCAGCCGAGCCCTGCTGGTTTAGCTCCTTATGTGGAATTTTCCCCCTTTTAAAGGAAAGCAATGCAGCAAGCAGTGAGTTATAACAATACAATCCGTCTAAAAAAAAGACTTGCATTTATTGGTCAGGTGGAGTAGAGTAGGCAGAATTCCTGGGTCAGGCTGCCTCTGCCAAATGTTGGTAGACTTCACCAGAAAGAATAAAAACCCTTGCACAGGCTTCTGATAGAAGTTACTCATTCTCCCTCTGATCACACCAACTGTCCTACTTACATCAGTTTCTCTCCAACTGTTATTTTATTCTTACATGTCCTCTTTTCTGTCAATGATTGTGTGTGTGCTTAGGGTCTGCAACAAGTGGCAAGGTCCCTTTTCTTTCCTCCCCTCGCTCCTCCAGAGGTAGATGGGATAAAACCATCCTGCACGTATTGTGCCTTTAATTCAGATCAGAGGACATGAAAACTGCAGTGTGATCATTTCCCTTTTGGCTGTGGAGTCTCATCTTCACAATGTGACTTATCTGAACTGTTTTACCCACAGAGAGCTTGAGGATCGTCTTTTATGCTACTTTTAATGCATGACAATCAAATTCCTAGATCTTAAGGGAGGTATTTACAGAGAACGTTCCTAAAATTATGGCCTTTAGACAGCCTGGAAAACGAACAACCTAAAGAAAAGCACCAAGCTCTTAGTTTTCCTAAGGAGTGAAATGCTAAGTGAATAAAGGAGACAACTTTATTTTCAGACAATTGAAAACTAGAGAGATTTTTGAAGAAGGAAAACCAGACTTTAAACACTGACTGAATACCCAGATAAGCTCTTCATTGCAGCTACTGCTGTGAAATTCTGAATGTCACAAAAGAAATACAACAGTGATGAGATCCTACCTGTTTGTTCTTCGCTGGTTTGAAACAGTCTGGACAGGCTGTGGCTCTAAATACAGAAAGGAAAATTAGCTGCTACTCGTACAGAAAAATAAACAGACACACTTATAACCATAGCATGTACATGGTCTTTGTACCAATACGCCCAGTATCTCAGTTCCACAGCTCAGCACAGAGCAGATTTTAAAATTAACTTTATCCTAAACCACAAATGGCGGAAGGTGTGCATGGCTGATCTAGAGAAAAAATCATGGACAAAGCTGTGTAAGCCTCTTTAGCTCTGACCAACACAACTGTGCCTCAGCTTTCAGATGCGATGGAAAAGCACACCAGAAGTTTAGCTTTCGATCCTCTCCAATCCTTCTCAATAAAGGTCATGATCAATGTTTTAAGTTCTGTGCAAGTTGTGCTGACATCTTGAAATGTATATACTTGCTGTTCTTAGACAATGCACACTACAAAATAGAGATTCAAATTGCTGCTTCTGGATAGGAAAATTCAATTTACTACTGAAAAAGTAACCCCAGGTGTTCAATACCATTTGTGCTTTGCCTCTTCAAAAGGAAACTATTGGCTGTTTCACGAAAGTGAAAGCCAAGTTAGTGAAACGCTTTTTCTGAGTACTGTAGAGGAAGTTGCTGTTCCTATTAGTGGATTTCTATGTATGCAGTTAGAGGTGATTTCTAGCCTACAATACAATTTATCATTTCTTGCCAGTGCTTTTCACCGCCTCTGTAACTACTTTAGACTATAAGGAAGCAGGTCTTACCTCTTGCTGTTTCCATACAAGCAACTCACCTGGCCAGTTTGTGACACAAAGCATCGCAAATTCCCTCTTCCAGAATTTTAATATCACCTTACCTTTAAACACAAAGCTCCAGATATAAACTAACAAGAGCTCAATCTTGACGTCAAACCAAGGGTCACTCTAGCACACCTACCTACATATACTTGTGTAAGAACAGCTAGAGAGATGAGAAATTGCGGATGCTATACTTGGAAATCCCACCCAAAAGCATACCTGGAGGACTTCTCCAGGTTGAGATAAGGTCCTACCTTGCTTCAAAAAAACCCACGACTGTCATTACTAAAGCTGTGACAATTGCCAAATTTACCATATTTATATCGAAACCAAACCATTGCCTCAGAATATACCCAGCCATTCACGTATGCAGAATGTCTTGACGCCTGAGAAACTACGTCATTAGATTAGGTAATACGCTGTCACTTCAGAAAAACGTCTAAAACCTTAAATTGCTGTTTAAGTATGTTACAAAGAAAAGGCAAATAAAGGGATATTGTCAAGTCACATGGAATAAACCTGAGTAGTTGGTGTGTAGAATGGAACTTCTTTGCAGTCTTCACCTCCACAACTGTTCCGCTTAGAGTGCTAACAATGGCACCATGACATGCTCAACATCAACATTTTTGAAAGGTCACAAAAAGGATGGAAGAGTGACCTGAAAATAAGAGCTGCCAGGTTTCAGAGGAGGGAAGAGCACTACAGGAAGCAAGAAGTGATCAAGTAAAATTACATAAATTAAAACAAAAGGGTGCAGGATCCAGAAACTTTTGAGTTTTTACAGGATTGCGGGTACAATTATTTATAATTGTAGTTTGGCCCTACCACTTTCTCCCCCTTTTGCCCACTCTTGAAGAAGCTGGACAGGAAAGAAGTTCAGCAAGTGCTGGTAATCAATTCTTCCTAATATCGGGTATGTCACCCAGCAGGTATGTCCTCACCCCCCACCCCAAGACATATGAAGGATGCACTTGTAAACCAAGAAGGTGGCAGATTGGGCAGTCAAACAAAGATCACAAATTGCCAGAAGGGGGAAAATCACGGAAAGCTATAAATGCTGCAAAGGAAATCTCTAGTCTCAAGAGATGAAGTCACTACACAACAGAGAAATCAGAAATTCTATGCTGAGCCTCTTTCTACGCTAAGATTTAACTTGCAGTAGGAGCACAAGTGATAAAATTGAGTGAAACTTAAGTTTTCCAGGAAGCATCAGCAAACAGGAAGAGTGAACCTAATTATCCAGAATATACTACTGCTAGATTTTGAGAAATCAGATTAAATGGTAGCTAAATTCATAGAAATATTTTGCTTCTTTGTGCGTAGCAGATGCTGTACTGGGCCCAGCCAAAAACTACATGTAGTGGCCAGGGTTTTCATTGACCAGCTAAGTTGGATTAACTCACTTCTAAGCCTTCCTTCCCATCTACGTCTCCTGCAAGAGCAGGAAAACCTAGGCACAACCTCAAAAGATCCTCCCACCTGCAACTACGAGGTTTAAATTTATTTTTTTAAATAATATGACTATATTGAAGAGGGTAATAACTTTGAAAACGGCTGAAATTGGAACAACTTATCTGGATGTTCTCCTTCCAGTTCGAATCAAACTTCTGGATGATTTTGTTTATTGACTTTAAAGCACAGAATTAACTAGACAGAGATGGTGTAACTTTAAGCTCTGCAACTCTATCTGAATATGAGGAAGTTCAGATGCAGGCCCCGTTCTAGTTTATAAACACTGCATAGTCTCTTGTGTAGCAAATCCAAACCAACAATGTTGCACAATATTTAGATAAAGATCTTTTGTTATTTATATAAAAACTTACAGGAAATGGCACTCCTCGTCTGTTTCTGGGTGAGCAAAGACCACGCTAACTTCAAACAAACTCTAAATTTAAAAAAAAGAAAAAAAAAGGAAAAAAAAGGAAGGTAATAGTTTTTTAAACAAACAGGGAGAATATTCTCTAGCACCCTTATTGTAATATTAGGAAAACAGTCAAGAGGTAGACAAAAGAGGAAGTAACCCACTTATTCTACAAATCATCTAAAGACATTAAAAAAGTGTGCCATAATAGCATTTGCATTTCTGAAGTAACCAAAGATTACTTCAAAAACATGAGTGACCTACACATCATAGATACCAGCCTCATTTTGCACAGGGGGAACTGAGTCAGAGACAGTGTATGCTCAAAGCCTATTACGGTCACTAAACTTAACAAACCTTCTGGGAGAGCAGTGCATAGCATGGAATAAAGATAAAAGCCCTGTAGTAGTCACCACTGTAAATTTTGTCAGGGGTTTCGTTTACACTGACTGGATGGCCTTGGGGCAAAGAAAGGCAACATGTCCTAGTGGATTGACAGCTAGACCAGAAACTCTAGTGTAATCTCAATTCTACCCCCAATTCCCTCTTTGGCCTTGGGCAAACAACACTCATTACTTCTGTTATTCAGATACCAGAACACCTCAAGGGGGCTATTGAAAAGATTGGCTAATATTCAAGTGCCTTGTAGATAAAGAGCACTAGACAAGTAACTTTTATGGTACAATGATGTCTGGAGTGGCTCAGTGCCTAAGTATTTTAGAGCTTTTGCTAACTTGGTATGTAAGAAGTTTGTTTCTTCTTGGATCATCTTCAGGGTAACTGAGTGTTTCTTTCTTCACTAAGACAAAAATGATGCTTTCAATTAGCACTCCTGGGAAAAGACGATCTGTAATTATTCTGGAAGCTGACAAACCAAGCTACAGACTAAGTGAGTCTAGTCCTGGGGTCAGTCCTATGGCTGATGACAAGTAAAACCTGCAGAATGCCA